CGCGCCCCCCACCCAGGCCTGATGCCTCTGGCCAAGGCATTAGGCCTGGTCAGGGGACTCCCAGCTCCCCGCGATCTCCCGCTCTGCCCCTGCCCAGGCCTATCGCCTCTGGCCGAGGCATCTGGCCCGGGCAGTGGGGTCCCACAGCTGCAGCAGCCCCGTGATTGTGGGCTCTGCTTTAGGCCCAGGCAAGGGACCCCTAGCTCCCAGGACTGCCAGCTTCGACCGTGCCCAGCTCCCATCGCTGGCTCCACCCCTACTTCCTGCTATCACTGGCCAGGGCAGCAAAGGCGCCTGATTCTCTGATCATGGCTGGGAGGCATTGTCAGTGGCAGGGGGCTTCTTCCTGCTTTCCCTTTTGCCTCCCTGCATTGTGCCTACATATGCAAATTAACCGCCATTTTGTTGTCAGTTAACTGCCATCTGAGTTGGCAGTTAATTTGCATATAGCCCTGATTAGCCAATGAAAAGGGTATCGTCGTACGCCAATTACCATTTTTCTCTTTTATTATATAGGATCAGCCAGGTGTAATGTACTTTTTTTAGTTCATCTCTATTCCTGATCAAGGACCACATCAACTATTACTACAATTTAGTTAGCCAGCTCTGGAAGCTGGCTTAAGGAACTTTTTACTTGCCCTCATTGGGGCATGTTTGTAAGAAAATAAGTTCTAGTAACTGATTTTGCATTCATTGAGTTGCATTATTTTCATTTTACATTGAATCCAATAGCTTCGTTTATTTCAAGTTCTTTTTGTTAATAGTTTGATAGCATTTATTAAAATGTTCTTTTTAGTAGCTTCTGGTTTCCCTAAAGGAACTGTCTATCCTAAAATTGGCTTGAAATATGTGCATATCTTTATTGATTGGTTTACTAAAATTAACCTTGATGTGGACTAAGTAGAGACAGACATATTTTATCTTTTAAATTCAATTATTCTCTATTCCAATTGCTATTTTCCCAGCTTAGGTTACCACTTCTTACTACATCACTTCAGGAGCCTTCTAACTGGTCTTCCTTCTAGTCTTTCATGGTGACTTTATTTTTTTCTGTACTGTAGCCAGAGAGCTCTTTTTAAATGCAAACTGGACCACATTATCCATCTATGAAAAGTTCCTCATTTCCTTCTTAGCAGCACTTACAAGGCTCTTTATGATCATTTCCTACTCTTGCCATTAAGTTGTCACACACTATACTCCAGCCCATGTAGTAAAAGGAGAAAAAAAGGTGTAAATACTGAGAGGGAAGAGGAAAAAAGGATATTTCCTATCTACACAATATATCCCAAAAACATCTAAAGAAAAAATATTAAATTTAATGAGACAGCCTTAGCCAGTTTGCTCAGTGGATATAGTGTCAGCCTGTGGACTGAGGGTCCCAGGTTCGATTCCAATTAAAGGCACATGCCAGGGTTGTGGGCTTGATCCCCAGTGGGGGGTGTACAGGAGGCAGCTGATCAATGATTCTCATCATTGATGTCTCTCTCTCTCTCTCTCTCACTCTCTGTATCCCTCTCCCTCTCCCTCTCTGAGATCAATAAAATATACTTAAGAAAAAAAAAGAATGCACTGGTTCTACACTGGAATGTTAAAAGGAAACATTTATAACAAAAATTTAATGAGACAATGAGCTATATACCTACCAAAATGGCTACAATTAAAAAGACAGATAATACCAAGTGTTGACAACAATATGGAGCAAGTTGAAATTTGGGAAAATATTTGACAATTTCTTAAAAAGGTAAACAGCCCTTCATACATAAGTACACTGAGTGGCCAGATTATTATGACCAGCCAGATTATTATGGCCATCCCATCAGTACAATGAAGTGAATTAGTTATGCAAATAATAATAAAACCTTGAGAGTATTTGCTTAGGGAGTTTTCAATATTCAGTATTTTTGGAAGTGTCAATGAAGTTCTGAGGGGGTGGTCATAATAATCTGGCCACTCAGTGTATAATGTATATATGTCACAATATAAATACACACACACACACACACACACACACACATACAGTGTGTGGCAAAAGTGGGCTTATAGTTGTGAGTATGCAAAATAGTTTATTCTTGTATTATTATTTACTAATTCCTGTATTATTTTCCATATGAACAACTGTAAATCTCCTTTGGCCCCATCCTATATATACACATACACATAGTCTCCAAGAGGAACAAATGCATATGTCTACAATAAAACACTTGTATAAAAATGTTCTTTATTGATAAATAGCCAAAAATTAGAAAAAAATCCAGATGTCTATTAATAAGAGATGAGCCTTTGTGTATTTATATAGTTGAATACTACTTAGCAATACAAAGGAATAGCTTCTGATTCACACAGATGAATTTCACAGGCAAAAGAATCTGAAAATAAAGAGTACATATTGTATGATACTGTGGATGGATATACTGGTGTGTGCACAAAGTGTGAAAATCTTTGCATTAGATGTTCATGCTCACCAGAAAGCATCCATTATAGAAGAGGTACTAAATAATCAAATAGTCAAAATAACTCAGACATTAGCATCCTTTGGCAGCTGACACAATAGGAACATGATTGATGGAGGTTAATCATGGGCCCAAAAACATGGACTTCCACTTACCAAGACTCTTAGAGCTACTGTCATCTTTGAATGTCCATTCTGCCAGCAACAGAGTCCAGTATTTCATAGGGCATTGTTCTTTAATGAGATCAACCAGCTGCTTGGTAGCAAGTTGACTACACTAGGATGTTCCTATCCTAAAACAGTCAGTGCTTCATTTTCTTTTTCTTTTTAAAAGTTAAATCTTTATTCTTCAGATTATTACAGTTGTTCCTCTTTTTTCCCCCCATAGCTCCCCTCCACCTGGTTCCCACCCCACCCTCTGCCCTTACCCTGCCCCACACTGTCCTCATCCATAGGTGCACAATTTTTGTCCAGTCTCTTCCCACACCCCCCAAACCCCTTTTCCCCCCAA